CTTTTGCATAAGTCAAATGGAAAAAAATGATGCTTTATAAGGCTGCTGACAAGGCAGACCCTCTCCTTTTGATGTGGCAAATGCTTGAAGGCCTTTTCCACTTTTTCTTCTCTCTCGTTCTCCAAAAGCTCAAGCAAACATCCATCGTTTGATATCCTACATGCTTATTATCCCTACCCAATTTTTTTAAATTTTTTTGATGGAAGGGTGACATCTTCGATGCTTAAAGGGCAATTTTCTTTAAAGAAAAATGCGCTCTTCGCTGTCAAGTCTTCAAAAAAAAAGACCTTCCTTATGAGGCATCCCAAAAATATAGAGTTTCTCCAACAGTAAAACCTTGTTCTTGAAGGCAGAAGAAAAAAAAAAAAAGGGTCTGAGCGTGAAATTCTTAATTAAGCAGTAAATAGTGAGCTGGGTGTCAGCAGATGTAGCCCGTAGCCATGGAGACCGAGTCACATGCATGGCGAAACTTGATGGAGGAGGCCTCGGGCCTTTTTTTTTTTTATCCCTTGACTGGCAGCCTAAGAATTCCACAAAGCTTGTAAACTGGATTATTTGGTTGACTAATTATATCGCGGCGTAAATGCGACTGGAAAATAACGGGAAATTGACAAAAGGCAAAAAAAATCGAAATCTTTTTTAATGATTTGGGAATTTGCTTTTTTGTGGATCGTTCCTATGTTCCTAATTGAACGGGATCATGTGATAGAATCCTTTAAGTAACAAAACAACAAAAAAAGAACAAATCTTAGTTAAAAAAAAAAAATGTTGCCACATTGAATCGACTAAAGATTTATAGAAGTTACTTTTTTGAAATTTGCATTATTTGTTTTTTTGGGGGAGATTTGTTTTGTGAAACATATTTAAAGGAGATCTATGGGGTTAGTGCTTTTCCCCATAGTTCTCCGAAGGGTAACGGGAGGACACAAACTAGCGTGCTCCCGTCACCCTATGCTCAGTATACCGCGAGCTACAGCTTGGGTTATACTGAGACCCCGCAGCTGAAACGGATCCCGACAATTATGTCTGGATCCGCCCAGCTGCGTGAGTGACAGCTGGCTCTGCCTATCAAGAGGCAAAGCACTCACCTCATAATTCTCCTTTAAAGTGAAAATCACTCAACCTCATAGTTCGAGCCGACCTGTGACAATGAAACTGTCACTTGCTCACTTCTCGATCCTGTCCCTGCGGAGAGCTGTGACAGTCACTCACGGCTCCCTGCAGGTATTCCCCCCCTCCCCGCTCCGATTCTCCAGCACTGACTGGCTGTGAGTGACAGAAGCAGCTATTTTTTTTTTTTCAAAAAGTTGAGAACAATGGGCAAAGTTTTTTTTAAAATTGGCAAAGACTTTGAGTGGAAAAGGGAGAGCTTTGCATTGCAAGTAAATATCTGCACCACTTGCATAATGACACATTAATCTTCAAGATATTTTTTTTCTGCAAAGTTCCAACTCATCTGCTTTGTAAATGGCAATTTGCCAAATTTTAACACACTACGCTAAAAAAAGAGACAGGCTAAAATGTGGAGAACTAATGAATGAAAATGGTTCACATGACCCTCGGATGAGCTTCTATAAATGAATTAAATTGCAAATGAAAAGAATAGAGAATAAAATGAGCAAGCCGGCCATTTTGTATCTTTGTAAGTCGTCTATAAAGGTTCAAAATAATCTTTTTTTTTTTCTTCTAATTTTCTCTTTTTTGTTCATAAAAGTTTGTTACAGGGTTGATTTTGCCATTTCCATAGGTCTTCCATTTTTTGACAATTTTTCACACAACTTTCCCTAGTCTATCCTTCTTCAGTGCTTATACTGTATGTAAAGTATGATATACTAAGCAAAAAATAAAAAATACATTCTCGGTAAAATAATAAATAAATGAACTAAAATGAAATAAAGTAAATGTAAACACAGTTATCAAAATTTAATATACACTTTAACATGTTAATGTAATTTTTTTTTAAAAGCATTGAGTTTTAATAAAATCTGCAGCCTTTCATTTAAATAATAAGTTGTGATCCTGCCATGAACATTCTTGTTCTGGCACTTCCTTTTAAAGGGTGACAACGAAAATGTTCTTCTGTGCTGTCACCCTGTCACATGCACACCTGGTGGAGATTACAAGCAGCCACAAAGACATGCTTTATGGCTCACTGTGGTCACCAGTAGGAAGCCAGTCCAGAGCATAGATGTTTAGCTGACAATAGAGCAAGTGCATGTAGACAGGAAGTGGCTAACAAAAAATGGAGGAGTTCGGCAGCACTGAAATGCATTTTTTTAAGGAATACAAGTTTGAAAAAAAAAATGTTTACGATTTACAGTCCATTAGCAAGTTAACTATAATCCGGCTAGGGTTTAGGTCTACTTTAACACTAAACTCAGCAGTAAAATCTTAAAACTGCCTTGGATCTTGAGAGGACACCTCTGGTGGACAGCCAATGTGAATTGTCCACCTCACACAAGCAGTGACGTAGTCACCTAGAAGAAGGGACCTTGTAGAAAGTTTACAGAGAGAAGAAAGACCCAGTGCTGGATAATCATGTGATCGCAAGTTAAAGTGACATTAAAGGAGAACTATGAGATGAGTGATTTCCACTCACCTCATAGTTCTAAGCCGACCTGTGACAATGAGACTGTCACAGGTCGGCTCAGGAGATCGGGAGGTGAGAGAACACATACCAGGTTCCCTCACCTCTCGATCCTGTCACGGCTCTCTGCCGTGACAGGGGGAGGGGCTGGATTCCCCCCTCCCCGCTCCGATCTGCCAGTGCTGACTGGCGGAATGGACGGGGGAGGGGGCGGGTACAGCTGGCTCTGCCTCTAGATAGGCAGAGCCAGCTGTCACTCACACAGCTGGGCGGATCCCGTCATCTACGTCGGGATCCGCTCCAGGTGCGGCGTCTCAGTATACCGCGAGCTGTAGCTCGCGGTATACTGAGCTTAGGGTAACGGGAGGACGCTAGTTTGTGTCCTCCCGTTACCCTAAGGAGAACTATGGGGAAAAACACTGACCCCATAGTTCTCCTTTAACTCCGGAGTTATATTGTAAAATACATTCAAGTCCCTGAACTCTGAACAAAAATGTATCTTATTTGTGTATCACTCGGCTGTAGATCCTCCAATCATCTCTGAATTGGTGCTGACACTGTCCTTCCTTCTGGAGGGGGGCTACTTTTGTTCCCCATGGTCCCTGTGCGTGTTGTAAAGTAGTCACCGCTCCAAGCTCGCTCCTGTGATGGACTACAATCTCATGTTTAGTTTACCAGTTTGTAGTGCCCAAGCATTTTTCGGCTCTTCCACCATTGATCTAGCTCTTGTGATGTTGGGGCATGTCTAAGTCACTTTCCAAGTACTCGATGAAGTAGGCTGACCATATGTCCCGTTTTAAAAGTTTCTTTTAAAAAATCGATGTTGTCCCGCTTTCCTTTTTAGGAGTGCTCTCTGAGTCTGTGCGCCTCCTGAATGAGAGGCTTTAACGTCTACATCCGTGCGGCCAGCCGGTCTCTTTAAGGAGGCGCGCACAGAGTGCACTCCTAAGAAGTCTCTGCCTGCGCTCCTTCTTCCTCTGCGGCAGCACTAACTGGGAGGAAGTTACGTAGAGGTTCACAGAGTGCACTCCTAAGAAGTCTCTGCCTGCGCTCCTTCTTCCTCCGAGGCAGCACTAACTGCGAGGAAGTTACGTATAGGTTCACAGAGTGCACTCCTAAGAAGTCTCCTCCTGCGCTCCTTCTGCCTCTGCGGCAGCACTAACTGGGAGGAAGTTATGTATAGGTTCACAGAGTGCACTCCTAAGAAGTCTCTGCCTGCGCTCCTTCTTCCTCCGAGGCAGCACTGACTGGGAGGAAGTTACGTATAGGCTCACAGAGTGCACTCCTAAGAAGTCTCTGCCTGCGCTCCTTCTTCCTCTGCGGCAGCACTAACTGGGAGGAAGTTACGTATAGGTTCACAGAGTGCACTCTGCACCTATGCGTAACTTCCTCCCAGTCAGTGCTGCCGTGGAGGAAGAAGGAGCGCAGGCGGAGACTTTAGCTAGGCATTTTATATGATCAACAGCAGAGCTTTTATCTCAGCAGGGCCGTGCTCCAGAGTGTTAAGACATCTCAAGGTTAATGGCATAGTTCTCTGCTCCTCAGACTGACACAATGGAAGGATATCAGGCAGTATAGGAAGGAGGGAAAGGTGCAGAAAGAATGCAAGGGTGATGTATGCATGTAATATTTCCAAAGTAGGCCAATCCACATATATTAACTCTCCGAATTCCAGAACGGTGACAGTGCATTGAATATCACATCTACTATATTGTCATAAAACTTTTGTTATCATCTTACTTTTTCGTGATTACAGAATATTAAAACCGCCCCAAGGAAATATGGTCAGCCTAGCTAAAGGGAAGCCTTGACCCACATGAGCAGCCTTATCGCAGCAAGTTGACTCATCAAATGATAATGGTCTTCCCATGTTCTGTATCGAATAAACTTCAGAATCTCAGCACCTCATTGATATGTATTTTTGTTAAATGGCGATATCAGGTCACTTTTTGTTATGACAGATGAGACTGTGAATGTCCCTTCAGTTATAGATACTTCTCCCGGCCTGTCAGCATATGTTCCTGTAAGTGTACACAGAGCCATGCATGGGCAGCTCAGTTTGTAGTCTCGGCACAATTCTGTGCTGGGACAAAGTACAAACACAAACATTTCCCAGAACCTCTTACCAGCTAACCTGAGAAAAAAACAAAACAAGTTACATTGTCTCACAACTTGCGTTACAAACAGAGGTTTTAGTTTCATAACTCTTGCAAATGTGGAAGTCGCACTGCCTCGTCAAGGCCCCTCTGTGTAGTTTGCTCCTAACTCTATTCTATGAAAGCCTCCATCTTGGAGTATATATGGAATTGGATAAATTGAGTGAGGTACGCCTGGAGTTAGCCCATTCTTCCTTCAAGGCATAGGGGCACACTGGAGGCCAAGCAAATCTAAATGTCAGCTTTTTGGAAATACAACAGCTTATGCTGATATCTATGATTGTATTACTTGTGTAATTAGGTATTTTGAGCACTAGATGGCATTGTGGTGCAAAGCTAGTCTATGGTAGTCTGTATGTTAGTATTTTCTATGCATGCTTATACATATGATACATATACAGGGTAGACATGTGCACCAGCAAAAAATCTGTTTAGTTTCGTTTCGGATTTTGCGTTATTTCGCTTTTCAGGTCCCAAAAATCAATTTGTTTCGGAATTCGGATGAAATTCGTTAGCAGTAGTCTGTACGAACCATCGTTTCGTTTTCTTTTCGTTCGTTCGCTCGCTCGGCTGTTCGTTCGTTGCAACAAAGTGACATTCGAGGGGAAAAAATAATTTTTTTTCCTCAAATGTTATTTTGCTGCAACGAAATTTCGTTCGACAAACAAAATTTTGTCCAGACTACCGCTGACAAATTTTGTAAACGGAAATTCTGATTAATTTGCATTCGGTATAGCTGTGATTCAGAATTCAGATACATCCGCATGTCCGAATTGCCGAAATTTCATCCGAATTTCGTTTTGGAACGAAACAAATCGGAGGGGAGGGGCTGGATTCCCCCCGCCCCCGTCCGTTCCGCCAGTCAGCGCTGGCGGATCGGACGGGGGTGGATTCCAGCCTCCCTGCTCCGATCCGCCAGTGCTGACTGGCGGAACGGACAGGGGAGGGGGTGGGTACAGCTGGCTCTGCCTCTAGATAGGCAGAGCCAGCTGTCACTCACGTAGCTGGGCGGATCTCGACATCGATGTCGGGATCCGCTCCGGCTGCGGCGTCTCAGTATATCGCGAGCTGTAGCTCGCGGTATACTGAGCTTAGGGTAACGTGAGGATGCTAGTTTGTGTCCTCCCGTTACCCTAAGGAGAACTATGGGGAAAAGCCCTGACCCCATAGTTCTCCTTTAAAAAGCAAATGTTTCTTTTCCTTGGCAAAAGTTATGTTCACTCTAAATATCCAATAATATGCAAGAGAAAAAAATGTGCTTGCACATGATTGGATCATTGAAGTTAACACGGCTTCAACTTATTGAGTAAACCTATCCATACACAGGTAAAATTTAGTTTGAACGCTTGTACGAAATTCTGAAAATCTGTGATAATGACAGCTAGGAAGAGGCTACAGTTCTCAAGAGCTCACCAAAATGAAGTAATAGAAGATTGGGAAAATGTTGTCTGGTGTGATGAGTCTGGATTTCTGATGTGACATTCGGATAGTGGGGTTAGAATTTGGTATGAACAACATGAAAGCATGGATCCATCCTGCCCTGTATCAATGGTTCAGACTGGTGGTGTAATGATGTGGGGGGTATTTTCTAGGCACACTTTGGGACCCTGAGTACCAACTGAGCACCATTTAAACGCCAAAGCCTACCTAAGTATTGTTGCTGACCATGTCCATCGCTTTATGACCACAGTGTACCCATCTTCTGATGGCTACTTCCAGCAGGATAACATGCCATGTCACAAAGCTAAAATCATCTCAGACTAGTTTCTTGGGCATGATAATTAAATATTCAAATGGCCTCCACAGTCACCAGATCTCAATCCAATAGAGCACCTTTAGGACGTGGTGGAATGGGAGATTCTATCACGTACCTGGTAGAAGACCAAATTAGTTGAGGAGGCTTCCCTAGCAACTCTGAGAGTGGAGACAGGGAGCGTGAGGACAGAGAGCAGCACAGGTGCCAAAGGGTGTGTAGACGCTGTGCAAGGACACAGTCCAGAAGCTGGTTTCCAAGGATGGAGGAACAGGACCAGGAGAGAGCTGGAAGGTCAGCGTGCTGCACAGCGGGAAGCAGGACAAAGTCAGACAGGCCAAAGGTCACACCAATTGGGCAGCGAGGTACAGGAGCAGAAGACAGAAGCGAAATCCAGGAGCAAGCAGAGGTCAAGGGCAGGCAGCAATCAGGAGCAGTGAACGGCACTCCGGGTCAAGGCAACAGGTAAAAAACAGGCAGAGAAACAGGAAGCAACACACACAAGCTGAAAGACAAATGAGCAATAATCCACAGGACAAGCTAGTTTAAAGAGGCCCATCTATCAGAGGGGGTTTCGTCATATCCTGTGCACCAGCGTCAGCGCATACATTAGCTTGTGTTTCCCCAAAATGCGGAGGACAGGACCACACGCTTGCGCAGTATCGCACGAGCGGCCGAGTATAGTCTTACAAATAGACACATCATGTATGTGCGGCCGACAAATCTGCAGCAACTACGTGATGCTATCAAATTCTCTAAGGAATGTTTCCAGAACCAATGCCACGAAGAAAGAAGGCAGTTCTGAAGACAAAAGGGGGCCCAGCCCGGTACTAGCAAGGTGCACCTAAGTATGTGTGTATTCATTCTCTCTCTCTCTCTTTCTCTCTTCCTTTGTTTGTATTGCTCTTTCGCACATGCATATTCCTTTAACCAAAGAAATAATCATGACCACAAAAGTTTTAACTCGAATCATGGATTTGTCCCCATTAACTATTAGAAAATTGAACAAATGTTCCAAAAATGAATAGTTTTGAAGAAAATTCCACTGATGTTTGGCCAGCTTAAGTTAGAAGAACATTTATTTTACAAAGTGATAAAGACTCGATTCCATTAGTCGATCAAGCCTACAGAGTTCAGTTACACGTCACTCCATGCCCCTTAGCTGTCCGTTTTCATACTCTTCAATTTTACAACATCCTTTTTTTTTTGCCTTGGTCCCCATAAAATCTCCCGTGTATTCAAGATGAGGCTTTAGTATAGGAGCAAAATCTTCTTTTCTATTTTTTAGTCTACCCTTCCTTGAGCACAATCGAGCCTCTTTCCGGCTGGATACATATTTTATTATTCTGTACTTCTCTGTAGTTTTGTTTTCTTTGCAGTTACAATGACAAATGTGATATTCTATAATAGGACAGTGTTTGTAGCCAGTAGGAGACCTGCCGTTCCGGGACTTTCCTCTATTGACCTCACGCAGCTGTGCTGCTTTCTGTAACCCCTCCGTCACCTCGCACTTTCCATTTAAAACCAGCGTTTGCTTCTTTTGTAAACAAATAAAGTATGACACGGGGTCATGTACTGTATTGACGTTTTCTGTCACAAGAAAATGGAGCAACAAATCCACAATAATGGCCAAAGAAATGCTACTGACTGTCCTTAATGTACTGTGACAGTCCCCATGTTACAGTGGTGCTCAGAGCTTTGTGGCACTGAAGAAGGTCCCTACATTTCATTGTGGGTTTTATGGTGGTTCCTGGATGCACATCCTACCCTTCGTATGATCAGGCACTATGGATTGAAGGGTAAGCACTCATTTTGGAGTACGCCCAGTTGTATCACTCACTTTGCCTACTTATAACTGGCCTGGACTTTGGAGTGTTGGCATTTCTGCATTTGAGTTCACCAATGAGCCATGTCCATTAGAAGGTTGAATTCATTCATTTTACATTATAGAAAATAAAGACAGGAAGAGAACAGAAGCAGCAAGAACCTAAGGGGACTTCAGGCAAAGGACAACATTCACCCCCCAACACTCCTGCAATTACATGGGCCATGAAGAATTAATACACACAATATTATCGGTTAAACTAAACTGCTAAGAACTCAAATCTCAGTTTTGAGTAGGCTCTGCCCATTTGTATCACCTACTTTGTCTACTTATAACTGAAGGGATCTCTGAGTGTTGGCATCTCTGCATTTTATTAATGGTTAATAGTTGTGGACAGAAAAGAACATTCTAGAGACCCTTTACATTGCTGTTCAATGTAGAAGTGACCACTTACATTAGTGGTCCATGTAGAAGTGACCTCTTACAGTGGTGGTCAATGTAGAAGTGACCTCTTACAGTGGTGGTCAATGTAGAAGTGACCTCTTTTGCCCCTAGCACCACTTTGGGATGATTTTCTCCAGAACTATCGACCTTTAGCATGACTTCCCTAGAACCATCACTCTTTGGGGTGATGTGCCCCAAAACTAGCACCACTTTGGGATGATTTACCCCAAAACTAGCACACTTTGGGATGATATATCACAGAACTAAAATCCCTTTTTCATGATTTACCCCAAAACTTGCACGAATTTGGAATAATTTAACTCAGAACTAGCACGAATTTGGAATAATTTATCCCAGAAGTAGCACCCCTTTGGGAGAATTTACACTAGTAGTAGCACCATTTGGGGATAATTTCCTCTAGAACTATCACCCCTTGTGATATATCACAGGACTAGCACCCCTTTGGGATGATTTATCCCAAAACCAACACCAATTTGGAATAATTTACCGCACAAATAGCATAGATTTGGAATAATTCACCCCAGAACTAGCACCCCTTTGAGATAATTTATATTAGAACTAGCACCACTTTGGGATGATTTACTCCATAACCAGCTCCCTTTAGGATGATTTACCCTTATTCCAGAACTATTTGGGATGATTTACTCTAGAACTACCACCAGTTTGGGATACTGTACCCCAGAACTTGCACATTTTTGGAATGATTTACCCTGGAACTAGCACCCCTTTAAAATTCGGACATTGGCAGTCTCCAAAACCGTTGTGATCAGTTCCCTTTGAATGGCCCTCTTACCGATGTAGGTCAGTGTTCCGAGAGCGCTGTTGAAGTACCAATCACAGGCCTCATTCTTCCCTGGCAGAGGAGCAAACTGGAGCGGTCTCCCAGGTGCCAGCCCACAAGTTATGGAGATGTTCACCGATCTCCACAAATTCCGGTGCTGTACAAACATGTAATTTCCCGCTTCAAAATCGTCAAAAGTGGCAGAATACTGTATATAAGAGAGATTGAATACTAGTATTAACACAGTTTTTTAAAGGGGTTACTTAGCAAAATATAAAAAGGCAAGAAAAAGAGAGTGCTAAGGGTATCAATATTACCAGAGGTGGGACCTTTTGACCCAGATTTCCAGATGTCTTTATTAACAAGTGCACTGTCAAAATATTCTATCCCCCAACCTATTGCCGACTGTAAGCATTTATGTGGAGGTGGGCCTTATTCCATGCTGCCACATATGCGTAACTTTTTTGTGCAGCGACCACACTCAAGTGCATGCCCCCAGCACTGTGACCGAGCAGTAACCGACAGCTTCCGGTCAATAGCAACAGTAAGGAGCCGGTAGGATGGGCTCATGATCACGTGATCATTGTGAAGCCGATCAGGATCCCAGGAAAAGCCTCCAGTGGTAAGATCTTCTTAAAGGGCCAGGGGAAAGGGGGCAGGAAGGGTTTACATGGACAATTAACATTTCTTGTAGAGGACATAATTGTTTTAAAGGGATTCAGTCTCTGTATAAAAAAAGATTCCTGAAGTCACCTGCAATGGAGAAGGTATTATATTGACCTCCACCATGGCCCGTGTCTCCTACCTCCCCTCTTCTCCAGCTACGCAGCTTCCATCAGTCCTTTCAGCATCTAACACTTCCAGGAGTGTCAGGCACCTGCATCCCCTGCTTCATACCGGTTGCTTACTACAGCCTCTGCATTGCACAATGCTTTATTCTGCACTTTCCTTCATATGGCATTTTTCTATCACTGCGGCTAGACTCACATGTAACGCGTTCCTCCTGTCCGGGGAATGGAATTTGATGGCGTAAGTTTCTTTATCCAGGAGCAGGGCCTGCCAGCCGTACAAGCTGGACAGAGTGTCTTCCACATAATTCACAGTGCTGCTTCCATTCCTGCTGTTGTTGATTGTCACGTTGTAACCGATGATGGGTGCTCGTCCTCTAAAACAGATTAAAAGCGAGAAAACGGTTTCACGAACAACAACCACCAACACCTTTAGCACCCATGCCCTAAACACCAAAGTGTGGCCCCTTCCCCCATGGGGTATGAACTACTTCAACGGCATAGGTCGCAGGACCTGGCTTTTTGTGCCCCCTCCTGCTGAAGTGCCCAAGGTGTTTCTGCCTACCCCTCGGCTCGGCCCAGGTTCTACTTGCTAAGTGATTGGACAATACGGCCAAGTCAGGGGCTCTACTTGCTTTGTCTGATAACAAAAGTGTTGTGCATTCTAAAAGTGTCATGGTTTAGGAGTTCTTCCACACCAAACTCATTAAACCATGTCTTTATGGAGCTGGCTTTGTGCACAGTCATGTTGGAACAGAAAAGGGCCTTTACCAAACTGTCAGGTCAGGTACTGATGTTGGATGAGAAGACTTGGCTCACAATGGGTGGTCTAATTCATCCCAAAGGTGTTCCCTATGGTTGAGGTCAGGGTTCTGAGGAGGCCACTTAAGTTCTTCCACACCAAACTCATCAAGCCATGTCTTTATGGAGCTGGCCTTGTGCACAGTCATGCTGACACAGAAAAGGGCCTTCAAACTACTACCACAAGGTTGGAAGAGCACAACTGTCTTTGCATAATGTAGAATAAACAGAACCCTTCCCTGGGAACACCTGAACTCAATCATTGGGAAGGGGCTCCACATTTCCGATGTCAGTATTTATGTACATGGCATTCCATTGTATTTACTATTTCCTTGCCCGCCATATTAAATGTTTATTTGTTGGATTTTTAGACTTCCGTTTCAGTGATATAAATAATTTTTACACATGTATGTGTGTATTAATGGGCTGTATGTGGGCTGATGTTCAGTTTTACTAGCCAGTAACCAGGAAAATGAACCGCGCATTCTAATCCTCCCTTCACGGGGGCCAGGAGCCTACACCGGGAGGTGAGGTGACTTTTACAAGTTGACTTTTGCGAGGTGCAATAGATCTGTTATGTTTCTGCTGTGCCGTGCATTCTGTTTTCAGTGCCTCTTAAAACACCAGCTTTGAAGTGTTAGCCGGCCGTCTGCGCTGTCATTAAAGGGGAGGGGGGGCGTCAAACATGTCTTGTATTGTAAAATAGACAAATAATAGTGAGTCATTTTGGTGTCACCCCTCCAATGGTGGCACCCCCCTTGTGACGCCACTGCCCTGATGCAAGTAGTGGGCTGGCTCTTGGGAGGAGTTATGCAAATATCAAAATGCCTTGATGTTAGGAGTCAGTCTGGGTGAGTGGGTTTTTCTAGGCAGAGCTGCATTTGCATGGAGAGCACCCTAAGTAATGCCCGCATGTGATGCTGAACTTCCATGATTGGAAGAACCGAAATCCAAGATGGCCGCCGGCAGGTATCAGAATACTGCCGCGCGTGCGCGATGACGTCATCGTGCACGCGTGCGGTGACGTTTCGGCCGGGTGACACTCGGTTAGCGCTCCGGGTGTCACCCAGCCTCGGGACGCCACTGCATCAGGGGTCTTAAAGAAGTGCTGAGGCAGGATGCTGTGATGTTTTTCCAAAAGCTATGTACAGCACCCTGCCTTCCCTTTCTATGATCTGCCTGCATTGTATGGAGAAGCGTAGGGACCCAGTGATGACGTGACTGGGTCTAAAATAAGGTATTTATCATGTTGATAAGGAGGGAGGAAGGAACCAGGAAAGGCAAAGTATAAGCAGATTAAATTTCGGCTTCAAAATATTGAGAGGGCAGAAGACACAGGGGAAGGGGCATTGTGTGGTCACATTTTAAATGGTCAGAGACTACAGGAGTTTATTTAAAATCTGCAGAGACAATGAGAAGTTATTAAAGTCAGAATAAGGCAGAGAAGGGAAAGTATTCAGACAAATGGTACTAAGATAATGCAGGAACAAAGATGAAAATTCAATTTTTTAGGTTTCTGCATTTATTCCTGAAAATGTAAGAAAAGACGGATTTACAATTTCATATCATCCGCTGTCAATACTTACAAAGAGATGGACATGCGGTGGAATTTATTGTCGGCTGGGCAGATGCTGGCTAGTTCGCCACCGCTGATGTCGGCCTTTGCCAGGCAGCAGCACGGGAGGATACCCGTGGTGGCCAGCAGGTGGCTCCCTTTCCAGCCAAAGAAGGAGCCATCGACGTCTTCAACGAGGGCAGAATGAGCAAATGGGAAAAGTGATTTCCTGGGCGAGTTTACAAAGGTAAGCCTCCGGGTTTTTACTGTGAAGCCCCCTAAAAGGAGGAATGGAAGACGTGTTATTATCAATGCATATATAAGAGCTGCAACAGTAAAAGAACCATTCATAGAGGTGGACATGAACTCCAAACGTGAAGATGTGCTCCAAAAATGTTAATTGTGCCAGAGCAGCACTCTGAGAAATGCACCTTTCATGCTGAATACTTCCGATATATAGAAGTGCATTTCCTATGCCTAGGCCCCCCTGTTCTGCAGTCTAAGGGCCCATTCACATGATTGTGTTGCGAAATGCATGGCGATACATGCATTGACACGCTGCCATGCCTTTGGTTGTGAATTGCAAAATGAATAGACTCAAGTGCATTTGAGTCTATTCATTGTGCATAATGTGTCAACAGCACACAACAATATGGTATGGATGGACCCTAATAGGTAGATAACTTCATCTATGAAATCATGCCTTTGCTTGATTCAGGAGATCTGGAGGTTCACTGTTGTACTGCTCATTGTTTTTCTTACTAGAGAGGTTTGAGTTAAAATATATAAATATAAAAATATTTATCTCTAGGTCAATATAGGTCATCATCCCCAAGTCTAAGTCCCAATATTTCTTAAATGCTCTCCAGATACCTTACATGGCTGCCTAGCATAGACGTGAGATTTAAATATGACCGTCTTGCAAAGTTTGAGGAAATGAGGGTGGCACTGTGTTCAGTACTACTCTGGCTTTTTTCCACACAGTTTTGTGTTTAACACTCCTCACTTTCTTTACACAGCACACATGGTCCAATACTTACCTCGGACCACATTCCAGTCATCTTCAGTGTGGCAGGGCTCCACAGTAAAGATTGCTGGAACTGGAATAGAGGTAAGTATTGGACTAAATGGGCTGCAGCCAGGTGTGGGGGCACCCTTTTCTCTGGCTCTGCACTCTGCAGATTCACTGCTCCTGGCCATCCAGGTCCATATAATGAGGCAGTTTGAGGCAGTTGCCTGAAGTGGCTTCTCTTTGGGTCACGTGGGGGGGGACGCAGGCAGAGCCAGAGCATCCCAGGTTGCTAAGAGCCGGGGGGGAGATGTGCAAGAGCCATACATATCTTGCCCCCCAACCCGGGATCCTCTGGCTAGCATCCTGCTCAGCTCCTGGCAATCAGTGGCATCAGTGAGCTGAGTGGGATGCCAGCCAGAGATGGGCAGTGCACCACCAGGATGCTGGCCAAAGGGCTAGTAGCATGCACCACCAGCACCCCATAAACAACCACCACACACCCCCTTCCCCCTGAACGTGACCACTAAACAAAACCCTGCCCCCATGTCTCAGGTGATAATTATGCTAGGGCTAACCTCGTAGACATTGTTTATCTTCTGGGTTGAATGACAGCCAGTGTGAGTGACAGTTCCTTTGGACCCTGGCCAGGCTGCGTTGGACCTGCCATCCGGGAGTGTGTCATCATTCAGTGTGGGCTTACAGTACTCCTAGATTAAGCAGGGCCCATATGTTACTACTTGAGTGCCTCTCATTTCACAAGTAAGGACTCTTGTGGCCTCACTTCTGTATATGAAATATTATAATAAATGTACGACACAAATAGTATCAGATTCTAAGCGTCTCATTCCCTCACCTTGTCCCCTCATACAGCCGGAACATGTGCTCAGAGCGCTGCACGTCTGCCGGTCAAAATTTATAAAAGTTGTGTTAGAGATGACTAACTGAAACCTTTTCGGGGTAGTAACACCAGACGCCATGCAAGCCTTGTCCTGTGAATGAAAGAAAAATAAAAAATATATGTTCTGTGTTATATTTATTTAACTTACTATATGTTGAGTAATAGTAAATTATATGACATAAAGTGAGTCAGAAATAAATGATGGGACCTGGCACAGTGGACTTCCTGTGTAGAGTGGAAGCTCTGGGGTTGCCATGTTCATCCTTCACTAATTAATGAGTCATTGAACTTCATATTTATTCCAGATTAAGTAGCTAACGCCCTTGTGTGACTGTGCTGGGTGCCAGAGCCGTCAATCACCAGCGCTGTCACATGGGAGGTCGGGATCTGGGTCACATGATCTCCACCACCAGATATGCCGCTTCACTTACCCAGGTGATCAGAGTGGTAGGGGAACAAGAGAAGCTAAGTATAGGTAGCTATGAGGACCTGGATTAGAGTGGACCGGTTGCCTTGCCCGGCGTGGTCAAAGCACAGGTTCGCTTTAATTTAATTATATTTTTTAAATGATTATTATTAATGTATTTCTATTCTTTGGCTCATTCCTCCACCTCTGACTCAAAACACTTTATCTGCTGTTTTGGCAGCCTACTTGGGTGCGCTCAGTAGACTAGGTTCAGTAGATGGGAGCCACCAGTTGCCAGCATGTCTTTGGAGTATGGGAGGAAACCAGAGGAAAGCCAGCCAAGCACAGAGAGAGAATGCAAACTCCATGAAGATAATGTCCTGATGGTCAAATTGAGGACTCCAGTGCTGCAACGAAGAAGTGCTAACCACTAAACCACTGTGTAGGAATTAGTGATACAAAGATACCGACACTAGTATCGGTATCAGTGCCAATACAAGTACTCGCCCAAATGCTCAGATACCATCCCCCATACCGAAACCTCCGGTCAGGGGATGATTTCCTCTGACCAGCAGTGCCGTAGGGGAACATGGAGCCGGCTTCAGGCGGCAAGTAATGACCCCCCTCCTGGCTTCCTGATTGGCCAGGAAGCCGGCTCCATGCTGACTGGCTGGAAAGCCGGCTTCCCGGCTGATCAGCATCGAGCTGGCCAAACATCCGCCTACATGCTGATTAGCTGGGAAGCCAACTTCCTGATTGATCAGCATCGAGCTGGCCGAACATGGAGCCGGCTTCCCAGGAATTCAGGAAGCCGGACGGCGTGTCATTACCCGCTGCCCAGCTTCCTGATTGCCCGAGAAGCCGGCTCCATGCCAGTGGAAGCACCGGTATCGTTACTCTGTATCGGCGAGTACCGACATCAAAGTTCGCTACTCGTACTCGATACCAAAAAATAACATCGTGCATCCCCAGTATGAATAGCTACAGTATCTTCATGCTGTTCAAACATCCGCCATGTTGGTGCCATTGCACCTCCACAACCCTGGAAGCAGCATAAAGCAACCTATTCCTAAAGCTATCCCTCACTGACCTCCATACAGCCAGTATTTCCCAGCCCTCCTCTCGTGCAGTGTGGGACATAAAGACAGATTGGGCTGTGCTCAGGGGCTGCGAATGGTAGAACGTTGATAAAACAGGTTCTCTTTAATTTCATTAGCTGCATGTTCACATTGCTTCCAGAGAACGAACATCAACAGAAGGTGAAGAAAAACATTGCAATTATCGCGTTCCCATTTTTTTGCTAACTGGCTAATCTGATTTCCTGCAATTATTTGTACGAAGAGACATATTTTTTAATTCCAGATATTTATCTTAAAGTAAGTCCCATTGCCTCGGTGGCAGAAGCGAGGAACGTGAATGTCACTGCTACCTAATTGATGCAAAGTAGACATCCTTATTAATGGGAGCGTTACATAAATTAAGATGCAAATTGTGTCACAGGGGATGTTATTATGAGATAACAAAGATAATAACAATTATAATTGAACCCCTGGCAAAACTCACGGCAAAGTGTCTCATTTCCCCAAGGTTCCCAACACCCGCGCGCTGAGCGAGCTGCTGAATTCACCAGGAATATTAAAAGCCGCATGTGCTGCCGGAGCTATTTCGGTCTTTCCGGGGCCTGGAAAGGACCATTCAGCGAACAATAGCAAAAAAAAAAAATTGAGGACTGCGCCTCTTTCACAAAAACCCTGCACACCTCAGGAACCTGACCTAGAAACCACGGTAATGAAGTCACAGCAGTTTAGTTGGGCTAAAAATACACTGGATTTATGAGAAGTCATTTCCATCAGTGTGCAGCCATGCAGAAGATTTCCCGTGCTTAAAGAGACCCTGTCAATTTACCAACTTGTGTCTGCACATAGCCCGCCCCCTCTTAGTAACTTACTCAGGGGCGTCCCTAGCCTTTTTGCTGCCTGAGGCAGGGGGGTGTTTGGGTGCTGGTGGTGCATGCTAACCGGTGAAGGGGGGGTGTGGCTTCTGTCTCATCTCCCTGCCCGGCTCTGGTTCTGCTTCTGGTCCTCATCTAGCCCAACTCCTAGCAACCAGTGACGTAACTGGTTGGCAGGAGCTGAGTGGGACGCCAGCCGGATTGTCTCAGGTTGCTAAGAGCTGGTAACAGCCATGCACATCTCCCAGCCTGGCTCTTAACAACTTAGGGCGCTATGACCAGAAAGAGGGTGGCACAAACATTGTGTAGCACAGCAGCCATGCTGCTCTGCCTGCCGACCCACCACGTGACCCAAAGGAAAGCTGCCTGAGGCAATAGCCTCATTATAGGGAGGGCCCTGTACTTAATTATGTTTACTTAGCCATGCTTTCTTGGCACCTCACTGCACTGCTGGAGCCCTCCGTAATAAAGTTAATTTGGGTTTTTCTGGGGATTGTGAATTGTTTCTCAGGAGAAAAATTTGCCAGCCTAGTTGGGTTCCCTAGGCCAGTATTCCTTCTCAGATATATTCAAAGGTTGTTTTTTTTAAAATATATGAGCGTTTAAAAGGGGAAAGCTTTTAATTTTTTGGGTAATTAATTCAACTAACACCTAACATCCAGAGGCCTCCTAAACTTAATCGGTACTTTTGAAAATTTGCCTCACATTCCCTTGCTTAGTTTGCAGTTAATCCATATCGCAATGTTTTTAATAATTCTAGACATGGAGAAACACCTGACCTCCTTATGATATCCCGCATCATCTAGATCTTTCCTCACCAGCCCGACTCTCCCTGGCCCGCTTCTTTCATTCATTGGATTTCAGTTTCTTCAATCATGGAGGCTCAGAATCACATGTAGATGTTACCTACAGTAGGTCTTCATGCAAATACTGATTGCCTAGGAACGGCTTCTCCTCCAAACTGACACCAATCCATCAAGGCATTTTGATATTTGTATAACTCCTCCCAAGAACTACTACTTGCATCGGGCCTAGGGGCCTTTGAGTGGAGTACTGAGGCAAGGTGCTGTGATGTTTTTGGAACGCTACAGCACTCTACCAGTTCCTCTCACCAGCCATAATCTGCCTGCATTGTACAGAGAACCAAAGAGACCCAATGATGATGTTGGTGGGTCTAAAATAAGAGATGCAATAGAAACAGAAAGATTGAATTTAATAATGTAATTAGCATATTGATTAGGGGGGAAGGAACCAAGAAAGGCAATGAAGCCATTGGAAGGGGAGACCTAAAAAGTAAAAAAATAGACTCGTGTATAACATGTCTTTGGCCAAATTAATTTTGTGACCCATGGACATCTGTTCAAGTCAAGTTCTGCCAAGCCAAAGGTTGAGCGAATATTCCCTTAACTCTGATGAACATACAAAAAGCCATAAATGTCAAGCACCGAGAAGCATTTCCCAGAAGTAGCATATATATTCTGTATGCCATGCTTATCCCCAAGATTTTGTATATCACACTAATCCCCGGTGAGCATGAAATAATGAAATACAGTTCAAGCCATCACCTATAGCATATTGATTAGGGGGAGAAAGGAGGAACCAAGGAAGGCAATCAAGCCATTGGAAGGGGAGACATGAAAAGCAAAAAAATAGACTTGTATATAACAAGTCTTTGGCCAAATTCATTTTGTGACCCATGGACATCAGTTCAAGTCAAGTTAAAGTTCTGCCAAGCCAAAGGCTGAGGGGATATTCCCTCAATTCTGATGAACATACAAAAAGCCATAAATGTCAAGCACCGAGAAGCATTTCCCAGAAGTAGCATATATATTCTGTATGCCATGCTTATCCCCAAGATTTTGTATATCACACTAATCCCCGGAGAGCGTGAAATAATGAAATACAGTTCAAGCCATCACCTATATGCTCCAGGACAAACAAACACTGTGTTATTATTAGTCGAGCTAATAAAATACAATATTTTGTTGCCGTTATTAAACATGCTGAAGGATTGAGACATGAGTAAAAGTGAAGCCCGGGAATCTTACTTTTATCAAATTTGTCTCCACAGCTCAGAGCTATACTCGCCTTGTTTTCTGATATGGCAACAGCACAGCGGACGGGTTGGTCTTAGTGGAACTGTCAAAAGGTTATTTATGCCTGCTAACTCTGAACGGAAAGATTAAATTTCATCACTTACCTCGCCATCCAAACGGCCAAGCAATAAACTATCTGAAATCTCGGTGTTCCCGCTACTTTCGCTGATATTAATCCCAAATTCTTGGCAGGAATAGATCTTGAAGCCTTTAAAAGAGATGTTTCCACATCGAGAGATCTAGGCAGTAAAAGCATATTGACAGCTAAAGGCACAGTAAAGATATTCTCCATATTGACATAATGATTTTCTTATAGAGCTTTTGTATTGAGGCAGGGGAAGCGTCGACATAAAAGTCAAGTTTATGTCCCTGAGTTTTGTCTTGTGGACTTTACATCACTTACTGTAAAAGTCGAGCTAGTCTAGTGTCAAGGACCCCCCTTGATAACATCTTAAATCAATCATATAATGAATACACATACTGTGCATTTTGATTGGGGGATTTGTGCTGCACCCTCATGCATCTTTGTAATAACATTTGTTGGTACGTTGGGATTAATAACAAATCAAATTAGGTGGCAGGTGGAGTCTGATCCTCATGAGGGCAGTAGAGGGTCTTTCTGCTGGTCATTGACTACATGAGGGCATTGAAGTTAATAACAAGTAAAAATAAGTGGCAGGTGGAGTTTGATCTTCATGAGGGCAGTAGAGGACCTCTCAATTGGCCTTTGACTTCATGAGGGCATTGAAGTTAATAACAAGTAAAAATAAGTGGCAGGTGGAGTTTGATCTTCATGAGGGCAGTAGAGGACCTCTCAATTGGCCTTTGACTTCATGAGGGCATTGAAGTTATTAACAAGTCAAAATAAGTGGCAGGTGGAGATTGATCTTCATGACGGCAGTAGAGGACCTCTCAATTGGTCATTGACTTCATGAGGGCATTGAAGTTAATAACAAGTCAAATTAAGGGGTAGGTGGAGTTTAATCTTCATGAGGGCAGTAGAGGACCTCTCTTCTAGTCATTGACTTCATAAGGGCATTGAAGTTAATAACAAGTCAAAATAAGTGGCAGGGGGATTTTGATTTTCATAGGGGCAATAGAGGACTGGTCCCTGCTGGTCATTGATGTCATGAGGGCATTGAAGTTAGTAACAAATCAAATTAGTTTGTAGGTGGTGTTTGATCTTCATGAGGGCAGTAGAGGGTCTCTCTGCTGGTCATTGACTTCATGAGGGCATTGGAGTTAATAAGATATTAAATTAAGGGGCAGGTGGAGTTTGATCTTCATGAGGGCAGTAGAGGACCTCTCAATTGGCCTTTGACTTCATGAGGGCATTGAAGTTATTAACAAGTCAAAATAAGTGGCAGGTGGAGATTGATCTTCATGACGGCAGTAGAGGACCTCTCAATTGGTCATTGACTTCATGAGGGCATTGAAGTTAATAACAAGTCAAATTAAGGGGTAGGTGGAGTTTATTCTTCATGAGGGCAGTAGAGGGTCTCTCTGCTGGTCATTGACTTCATGAGGGCATTGGAGTTAATAAGATATGAAATTAAGGGGCAGGTGGAGTTTGATCTTCATGAGGGCAGTAGGCGACCTCTCAATTGGTCATTGACTTCATGAGGGCATTGAAGTTAATAACAAGTCAAAATAAGTGGCAGGTAGAGTTTGATCTTCATGAGGGCAGTAGGGGACCTCTCTGTTGGTCATTGATTTCATGAGGGCATTGGAGTTAATAAGAAATTAAATTAGTGGGCCGGTGGAGTTTGATCTTCAAGAGGGCAGTAGAGGACCTCTCTGCTGGTCATTGACTTCATGAGGGCATTGGTGCTAAAAACAAGTGAAATTAAGCGGCAAGTAAAGGGCAGTAAAGAACCTCTCCTTTGCTGGTGATGAGTCAGCATGGTTCTTTAGTGAATAGGTGATGCCCCTTTCTAACACAGAGGTAAGAAGTGGCAGGTACTGTTTACACAAGTCACTCTTAGTAGCGGATACACTGTGAGTACCAACATTACTGGTAAAGAACAGATAGAGTCAGAAAAAGTGTGGGGTTTTTGTCCCTGTTCTTGCTAATGGAAAACTGTCCAGCCACTGCCAAATTTATGTTAAGCTCTCATTAGGAACTATAAGATTGAAGCTGGTAAAAAGTCATAAAGTTGGCCAGCTGCAGGACATCTTTAAGAAGGCAGAATTGGCCAAAACGTAATAGAGAAAAAGAGTACAGGCAAGGGTTTCACTACAAGAATTAAGATAAAGTAGCGTGCAGTTTGCCAGCAGCAGTACAGTTTCAATCAAGAATAACAGGCCCAACTGGTGTGTGCCTAACTTTTATTTTATCTCTGGGGATAGGTGAGTGTGGTGAACATGAGTGATGTACTGTGAGGCGGTATGTACACTATTATAATATACTGTGAGCAGATGTAGACTAATCTTTCACTTTTTTGCAGTGGCATACTGCTAACAAAAGCCAGCTTCAAAAACTGGCTGGTCAGTATCAAGTGCTATCATCATAAATGAAAAATTAAAATAATATAGAGAAACAAAAACCCAAAAATATCAGCCTGAAACAAAAGTCATTTATTTTTAAAGGGAAGCCCTGCAGCAAGAAAAAAAAAAAGTTTAACTGAAAATAAATATCCTATCAACACAAAATTAAAAAAATATATCCCAAAATACAACTCCACTGAAACAAAAGCTTGTTCTTGTTTTTTTGGGGGAAACCTGGCAGCAAAAAAAAGCTTAATGAAACAGCTGACCTCAAATCAACCACAAAATAAAGTAAAAGACAAAAGAAACCCAATTAAAAAAAAACAAAATAAGGCAACAAAGTGGGTTGATTGCCCAAAGAGCTAGCAGTCAGAATTGAAGTAGTTTCCTATCTGACCCTAATCTCTTCATATGCAATTTGCTGCAGTAACACCTACAGGTCCCCTCCCCACCCCTACTCTGTGACTGGTCAGTAAAAGGAGAAGCAGCAGACTAATAAGCTCATCCCTCAGTCACAGTGCTCCCTCCTACTATCAGCACTCTGCTTGCACTGTGGCATAGCCAATTGGCTCCTTGTGCTGCTTCTTTACTCCCAAGTCTGAGCTCTGCTGTTCTGGTAATGCAAGAGGCTGTTATCAAATTTGGATACTTACATTGCTTGCATTAACAAAATACATTTAATGAAGCAGTAGCTGTATTAAAGTCCATCTCCAGGCAAAAATAGAAATATGTTTTTGCATGGTTGAAAACATTTAAAACCCTCCAAGTTAAGTTAATGTTTCATTTCCCTTTGCAATTGTATAGTAATTCCCTGTTGATCATGGCGGTTCCGGTGCTGGCCGACAACGCTATCCCGAATCCATGCAAAAAGATAGAGATGGTTGTCAAATCCTGGAAGCTTCCGAGACTCATGCAGAATGATGGGACACGCCAAAAGCTTCCTACAATGCACTGTAATACTGGTGGAAACTCCTTAGCACTGCCACTAAGGCGCCAACCCTCCTCCTTGCCTCACTTTGGCTCTGATAGTCTCCGCCCCTTGCAGAGGAAGACCCAGGGCTCAGAGGGTTGAGGTCTTCTGACCGCCTATACATGTATATAATGAAGGTACAGTAATACCTCCGTTAACAAACGCTTCTGTTCGCAAACAATTCGGTTCGCGAACAGGAAGTACGGCAAAGTTTTGCTTCCGTTCGCGGACTCCAAATCGGGTGACGAACATGACAGTGGCCATCTTCCCCGTTCTGACACGTGGTCGTGGTTTCCTCTAGTTGAGATCGCGGTCACAGGCACACCTGTGCACACTTGCCCAGCTTATAGCAAAATTTGATTCAGTTCGCGACCAATTTGGTTCGCGACCAGAATCGTTGAACGAATTAAGTTGGTGAACCGAGGTACCACTGTATTTAGAAAGCAATTTGTAAAGTATTTACCTAAGAGTGATATTAAGGGGCCTTTGATGTGCCGCAGGGATGTTTCTTGTACTGTGCCTGAGCATCTCCTTTAATTTGTATCTTTAATATCTCCCTGGACTTCATCTTTAACCAGAGAATATTATTTTTTTTTAGGTTAGTATCCCTTTAACAGGTTTATCTGGATATTTTCCCCCCGTCTCTACTAATCTTTCCTAATGCCGCTCTGAACTGTAGCCAATCATTCTTTTGTTTAAACTGCAAGCCAAGCCAGAAATGAGAATTAGAATCATTTAACCAGATTGTTTGCAACACTAAAGTATGTTAATCTTCCTCATTTAGGAGGGATGCCATTTTCCTCATGTCTTTGTGTGATTTCGAAGGAAGAGCGCTCGTTTCTTTCTGCCTTCTATGTGCCAATTTGTAAAAGACATTTGGAGATTCGCAGTAAACATTAGCGGTTTGTGAGGCGTGTGCCAAGCGGTGGCACTGAAACATGTCTTAATTAAACGCCATTTCGAGACAAAAAAAAAATGGGGGATTTAGTACCTGTGCTCCACCTCGACTCTTCCAGGCCGTGAAGTCCTGGAACGCGGCCGGGACCTCAACGCTGATGGGCACGTATTCGGGGTGAATCCAAAAGCCAGATCTGTTGGAGACATGGATGAGACTTTTTTATTTTGGTGTTAACTGTTACTTTGTAAACCCAGAATGTCATGTGACTTGGGGGTCTACATTAGTTTGTTGCAATGGTGGGGTCTTGGGTGTAAATTGCACCATGGGTTATATCTGCGTTGGGGTTGTATGTTCTTCACATGGTAGGCCATGAGTTCTGAAAAGAATATACAAAAGGCTGAGAGTGTAACTAGTCTAATTAAAGTCCAGTTAGTCTTTACTGCATGTGACAGGAGGTCAGGAGGCAAAGCCAACACGTTTTGGGGGTGAGGAGTCCCCCTTCACAGAAAGCACAGTGGCTTATTGGTTAGCATTTCTGCCTTGCTGCACTGGGGGTCCCCAGTTTGAATCCCAGTCTGCTTGCAATATTCCCCATGTGCTCCAAAGACATGCTGGAAGGTTAATTGGCTCTTGTCTAAATCAGCTCTGTTTGTATGCATGTGAGATAGGGACCTTAGATGGTAGGCTCCTTGAGGGCAGGGACTGATGTGAATGTGCATTATGTAAAGCACTGTGTAAATTGTCAGCACTAAATATAATAAATATATATATATAAATACCTGTTTTAAATACATAAAAATCTGGGCTTTGATGATGGCTGTAACTAAGAGGAATGCTTAACAATATAAAATAAAAGGATATTTGTTGCCAGTCAGTATATTAAATATATAATATTTTGCAATATATTGTCCAATGTTCCTCTTAGTTACAGCAAAAGCCCTAAAGAAGGAGGATTTCCGAAATGTGTTGGATTTTTCTCCTGACCTCCTGTCACATGCAATAAAGACTATTATTATTTATTTATATAGCACCGATAATTCAAGCAGTGCTTTACCTACTACACATTCATATAAGTCCCTGCCCTCAAGGAGCTTACAATCTATTAAGGCCCCAATTACCCTTCCAGCATGTCTTTAGAGTGTGGATGGAAACCCACACGAGCACAGGGAGAACATGCCAACTCCTTGCAGATAGTGTTCCGACCAGGATTCAAATAAGGGAACCCCAATGCTACAAGGCAGAATTGCAAAACACTAAGTCACAGTGCTGCCCACAATTAGATTAGTGGTGCTCTCATCCCCCCAAGTTACTCCGGTTGACCATGAGATGCCGGTATATTTAGGATTTCAGGCCCTTTTTTCCTTTACTTTGGGATCAGCATGCTGCAAACACATCTATGGATTTGCACAAAGGCAGTGGTGTAGTATGGCACAACGGGGTACTGCTGTCTGCAATGAAAATTCATAATAAATGGAGTTTCCCAAGTGAAAGCCACATTCACTGTTAGAATTTAGTCCATTAGAGAAAAAAATTTCCATCCTGCTCCTTTGATTTTTTTCATCACTACGGTCCAAAACAATTGTCATTTTGACCCCCATTAACTATTAGAGAATTAAACAAGCGTGCCAAAAATACATCTTTGTTTAATTCAATTCTACTGGTGTACGGCCGGCATGACTCCACCTTGTCCAATATTCTAGCGGAGTCTCTGCTGCTCCATTTGGTACCATGGATGGAGTTTTACTTCAACTTTATAACTTATAACTGAATAAGTTATTGATACTGAAATGTTATTGATACTAAGAGCCTACATCTTTATATACTATATCCAGTACTATCTTCATCTCCGGATCCTTTCCACGTCTTGTCCAATATTCTAATGGAGTCTCTGCTGCTCCACCTAGTACTATGGATGGAGTTTTACTGCAACTTTATAACCAATAACTTAATAAGTAATTGATACTGAATGTTATTGATACTAAGAGCCTATATCTTTATATGCTATATCCAGTACTGTCTTCATCTCATGGTCCTTTCCTCACCTTGTACAGGATTCTGCCACATTGTTCTTGAATGAACCCAGTGCCGCTTGGGAAGGTCCAGAGGATGACAGGTGGTAGAAGTAGCCATAACCAGAGCTGCACACCCAGTTATCCTGCAAGATAATCACAAAGAACATCAGACAAACTCCAAGCCATTTTGTGATTTATTGCTCATAAAAAGTGGCTTTTACATTTTTAAAACTGACCAAAGAATTCAGATTTTCCCCTCCTTGCATCCATGGCTTTTTCTAAAATTCTTATCTTAATTCTTGTGTACATTCGTGTGGCCATATAGTTCATAATTCCAGTGCATCATTTGAAGCAGGGAGCCCCATACTGAGTGTGACGGACCCCAGTACTCAGGATGAGTATGTCCGCCGCTGTATTCTTCCTGCATCAGGAGATTTTGCAAGCTGAAGATCTTTAGCTCTCAGTTTCCCCAGTCACTGGTCGAGACACAAGTTTAGGGTGAAACAAACTCTGATTTATTGAGCAACTGCACAAACTTTTATACAGCAAGTGATGAGATCAGATTATAATCCCATCACATCCACCCTGCCTTCCCCATACAATCGGTCTGCTCAACACCACAGGGTTTCCCCTGCTAACGAGCTCCAGACAGCCATAGCAGGAGCCTGGCCAGAATGTCATTGTTCTGAGCTCCTTCAGAGTACAAAGGGAGATAACGAGGGGCTGGTGCTGATGGTCTTTTCATAACCAGGTCACACAGCATAACGCACTTAAACCTAATCCAACACCAATACACATTTAACTTATAAACTCATCACCATGTCGTCACACTAAGAACTCTTCCTACTACACTTTCCCCCTCCAGCCTGCTGTGTAGAAGACTTATATCTATGTATGGACCACAATCAGAAAGGTGCTAGGATGAGTCATCTGAGTGCAGGGCTGTGTTGCTACTCCATTGGTGCACTTGGCACTTGGTGGTGGCATGTTATATCATAGGACCGACATTTTAACAAAATTGGTTTGGTTGGGTTTTTTGTTGTCATGCCATGACAGATAAAAAAAACTTTCTATACAAATATACATTTATTTAATATCTTAAATAGAAACACAAATTAAAATGATAATGATAAAATGGTACAGATGATACCTCCCTGGCCCCAGTCTTCTATATGTGTCACATACGCTTCTTCAGGAGACGTAACTTTAGTCAACTAGTAAGTATTTTCTGTACCTTTTGATGGAGAAGAAATCCACACATCCAGCAAGCAGGTCACCTTGGAGAAGCCGCTAACAAGGAGCACCCGGAGGCCCTCAGTGAAGGGGGGGAGATTGGGACAATGAAATTCCCCCTACAGGTCCTGGTACTGGCTAGCCGGGGGATCACAAGTTATTTCATGGCAAAAGTTACGTTTCGAACCACAAACAGGTGGCAGATATTACTTTTGTAGCACATTTACTGCTTGGCATCAGCTAATAAGTTCCTATCTGCAGCATTCTGCCGCTCAAGCACACATTTGGACCAACCCTAAGATCACCCGTGCTAAGAAAATCCTGAGGATAACTGCATCAATGATTGAGCATGCATTGACACCTAACTTCGGGTTTCGGATGAGTTCAGGGTTGGACCAAACCCAAGATAATTTCTGCTTTGAAAAGCCTAAAGATTGCTGCATCAATGATTGGGCGTGCACTGACACCTAACTTGGTGTTGGACCAAACCCGCGCTCATCCCTGCTGGTGGTGATATCACAAGGAGTGATAAAATTTGTTTCTGATAACAGGAATAAGGTAAAGGAAAAAATAATACTGGGAAATGCTCTTAAGGGAGAGAAGGAGGGTTGTGAGTAAATTTGAGCCATGCCTTGACATTGAAGAAATAAGGCCAAGTGGCCATATAAGGTCAAAGCTGTCACCAGCATTCTACCACTTTGTTTATGTGTGGCTGCAGGAAGATGAGTGCCCTGACCACAGCCGATTGAGTGTGCACTGATGCCCAAATTCTGGTTTGGATGAGCTTGGGGTGGACCAAACCCGCACTCATCCCTGCTGATGGTGATATCACAAGGAGTGATTAAAGTTGTTTCTGACTACAGGAACAAGGTAAAAGAAAAATAGAATACTGAGAAATGCTCTTGAGGGGGAAAAGGTTTGGGAGTAAATCTGAGTCATCCCCGGATATTGAAGAAATATAGCCATGTGGCCATATAAGGTCAATGCTGTCACTAGCATCCTACCCCTTTTTTATGTGTTCCTGCAGGAAGGTGAGTGCCCTGACCACAGCTGATTGGTTGTGCACTGATGCCCAACTTTAACCAAACCCAAGATTATCCCTGTTGAGAAAACCCTGAGGATCACTACATCAATGATTGGACATCCACTGACGCCTAACTTTTGGACCAAACCCGAGATCATCCCTGTTTTGAAAACCCTGAAGAACCCTGCATTCATGATTATGTGTGCACTGACACCTAACTTCCAGTTTTGGATGAGTTTGGGGATGGACCAAACCCGAGATCATCCTTACTAAGAAAACTTAAGGATTCCTGTACCAATGATTGGTCGTGCACTGATGCTTACCTTCCAGTTTCGGGTGAACTTGGGGTTGGACCAAACCCAAGATCATTCCTGCTGAGAAAAACCTGAAGATCCCTGCATCAATGTTTGGCCATGCAATGACACTTAACTTCCAGTTTAGGATGCTGTAAGGGTAGAATGGCGGCCGCACAAAGACCCTATCTCCGAAGACGAACCATAGTGTGCATGCGTGCACAAGCGAAGGTGTGTGGGAAGACACACAAACAGCAGGTGCACAGGAAGTAACATCTTACCTCATAGTTGGCTATATAAGAACAAGCCTGAGCTCACAACATTGCTGATGGTCTTGTCAGCTAGTGCTTCCAGTTTCCCGTTGATTTTGCCTGTGACCTGTTTTGACCTGGATTGTCTTGGACCACTCTGCTGCTTGCTGCCTGCCCCTGACCTTGGCTTATTTCATCGACTTCGCTCTTACCTTCTGATTCTGTACCTTGCTGCCCGGCTGGCTCTGACCCTTGGCTTTCTGGACCACTATTCCTGTCTCCTAAATCTGTTCCCACGCTACACGCCCGGTTTTGACCTTTGGCCTGCTGACTTCACTACCAGACATCTCCTGCACGGTGTCTGCTTCCATCCGTGGCACTCGTGCTCCTCGCTGTCCTGCAGCCTTCTGTTCCATCCCCAGGGGTTGCAGGACACGAGCCGCAAGAGAAGCCTCATCATCTTCCGGTCTCTGCCTCAGGTACGTGATAGATGCGCTTGGGATTGGACCAAACCCAAAATCTTCCCTGCTGAGAAAAACCTGACAATCCCTGCATTTATGATTGGATGTGCACTGATGCCTAACTTCCGATTTCGGATGAGCTCAGGGTTGGACCAAACCTGAGATCCTCCCTGCTGACAAAAACCCTGAAGATCCCTGCATCAATGATTGGGCATGCGATGACATCTAACTTCCAATTTTGGATGAGCATGGGGTTGAACCAGACCAAAGCTCATCCCTGCTGGTGCTGATATCATAAGGAGTGATGAAAGTTGTTTCTGACTACAGGAACAAGGTAAAAGAAAAAATAATGTGGGATATGCTCTTGAGGGGATAGAAGGAGGTTTGGGGGAAAATTTGAGTCATGCCTAAACATACACTTTAACCTTCACCTGCTAGCAGAAAATACATTTCTCTTTACCTAAGTAGAGGGGATTTCCCTAATGAGTATTACCTGTACCTGCCATCAAAGCTGAGTTTTTTCAGCTGATTGGCTCCGTAGCCCTTGGATAATAGATAAAAGGGATTCCTTTCGCCGCTCACCGGAATATAAATAAGCTTACCAAACTTCGTCATTTACACGGTCTGTTTCCACATCAGCACTTGCGCTTTAGGCAGGAGCGAGCTCCAGAATTACCTTATGCCATTTTCCAAATTGCACTTCTACTGGAGGAAAGTACTTTGTGTAAGTCTGGTCATTAAATCAACTCATTCATGTAGGCGTACTCCCTGGTATTGATGCCAGTTTAGGCAAGCAGAGAGTTTGTGTGGAAATCAATTTGGTTTCTGATTTGAATGCATTTTTTACAGCGTTCTGCAGGTTAAATTTTAGGTGAAAGTGAGTAATCTATGAACGCCTGGGGACAACTTGACACGAGCTTCCAATCTCACCTGAACAAACTCCGGTATCATAGAGCAATGGTTTAATGCGCTCATTCCAATACCGATAGAGTATATTCTCAAACATTCCGGGATATGGAAACAGAGGCTGGCATTTGGAAAGTCACCACGTGCAATAAGACAAAAGAAAGAACCCGAACCCCAAAATAATAGCTGTATTAAATATCCCGGCCTCATTCTCAGTGTCTCTTCTTTAAAGCTGAACTCCGGGTGTAAAAAACTTGAAATAAATTCCTGAAAAGCCACAAAGGTTGTGTGCACCAAATGCCTTTACAGACTCAAATATTACCTTGTCAATATAGCTGTGACATCATCACTTTGCTGTACATAGCCTGTGCTAGGGGGGCGGAGACAAGACCAGTCACCCTGCACAAGGAGAGGGAGCAGAAGTGAGCGGTCTTTATTACAGGAGGGGGCGGAGACAAGACCAGTTACCTTGCACAAAGAGAAAGATCAGCAGTGGTCAAATCACAATACCCTTGGGATTCTTTTTAATATGTGCGAAATTATGACTCAGAGGAGGGACACGCCTCCCATGCGCAAAGACGTCATCCCGCACGGCAACATCACGCGCATGCGCGATGACGTCACAGCGGGGTGTCACGCGGTCTCCGCTCCGGGTGTCACCCAGCCTCGGGGCGCCCCTGGGTGGTATCTAATCTTTAACTCACATCATCATAACATGTACATCATATACAGCTATCTCATATAAGCTTTTTTACACATTGTCGCAATATTCTAAGACAGGTTAATATAATAAAAGGAACTTTTCCATGTCAGAGAGGTGATATTAAGGGCTGTGTGCCTACAGGCTCCAGTGTAGAAAATTCCGCACTGGCAGCAAGTCAAAACAAGCATGCGTTCAGATTAGATGATTTTACTTGAATTCCCATTGACTGGCGTAGAAAAAAGCAGGTCAGACACACGCTGTGGTTGCTGAAACTTGGACTATAGAAAAATTATCAATAAACACAAGTGAAAACTATTGTCTGATATTCAATTAAAAATGAAATGTTGCTTTCCAAATCCTTCCAAAATGCTTCACAAATGGAGAAAAAAAAGCAAAACCATTCCTTGCTCAAGGTCCTGTGCTGGCGAACTTTGAGCTTCTGTCCAAATGGCATCAGTTTGAGAAGCATCTAAGATCATTCGGAATTCATTGACCTGCAGTTGACCACATTCTGACTTGCATTTGACCTGCTTTGAGCAGGTTTTGCATTAGGGAGGTACAGAGTGCTGCACACAATTACATGCAGCACCTGTCCCTCCCGGGCGTAGGTCTCTGTACGCCATACGGACATGCATGCCCGGGTGAATGACCCCTAAATGTCAACTGAGCCACTCATGTGCAGTGAAGTGGGCATTCTCGGTATCACTTGGTTGCTAGAATGAATTAACTCCTGTGCACATGCCTGGTAGATACATGAAGACCAAAACCTGGAAGAAGAATGGGTGAAGATGCCAATGGCAGGGACAGAGCAATGAGAAATATCACCTCACTGGAAGGGGCACTTTGGCAGGTAATACTGCCATAATGTTCATATATGAAACAATTAATCCCCACTCAGCTTCCTCCTCATGTATCACTTCCCCCTCCCTTTTAGATTGTAAGCCCTCAGGGGCAGGGCCCTCCTTACCATCTTGTCTTAGCATTGTATTGTAATGTCTTCCTTATATTGTAAAGCGCTGCGCAAACTGTTGGCGCTATATAAATCCTGTATAATAATATACGGACCCATTTTAGAGTGGATGTATGAATGGCATTTTGTTTCCTAAAGCACTGTGTATCATAAGACATTTCCTTTACATTTGTTTTAAATAAAATACTTGTTTTTAACCTTTTTTTCATTGTAGAATCTCAGTGCTGCTGAGCCCGCCACCTCATTTTAGCCACTTCCTGCCATGGCTGCATGGCATTTCTTAGGATGGGTTTCCTGCTTTTGATGACAGTGCTCCATGCCTGTGTGATGTGTGTTGCAGTCTACATCCGCAGCCTATGTGACAGCATAACAATGCGGGACCAAAATTGGGGCAGAGCATCGTCACCTTATAACAGGAACTTCATGAAGAAAGACATTCATGGCAGAATAGCCAGGTTGAGACTTGTATGAGATTTAGGTAATTGGGTTCACATCTATTTTATATACACAATTGTGTTAATGTAAACCTGTACATAGACTCAGGACAAGTCTTCCTTTATAATAATACAGCTCCTAATTAATCAGTATTATTTTTTTGACATAGTGAGACATGGCGTTGATCAGTATTGACATTTAAGCTTTGTTCCTCATTAGGCTGTCTAGAAGAGTGACAGTCCTATAATAAGGTGAGGTGACCATGGAATTCCATTAATCACTGAACATCATTCGGTCAATGTCTTCCTACCTCTATGATGACGGAAGGTGACCTGGTATAGACAGCAGCCGGAGCCAGTGTCTCAATATTGGAGAGGCCGTCACCGCCTGACATCTTGATCATCAGATTATGCTTAATTTCAAGAGGTCCGTGGAAAGGTTCTCCTAAAGTAAAGAAGCAAAGGTTCAAAAAATACAAAAATGTTCAACAGCTTCAAGCAGTCCATCCTAGACAGGTAAGCTGCGAAAAAAATTCGATTTGGTTCAGTTCGGATACTTCGTTATTTCGGGATTCAGGTCCAAAATTCAATTTGTTTCGGGTTTTGAATGAAATCTGAATTTTCTCGTTAATTTCGGATGAGTTTATGAATATTCATTGCAAATACCACAGAAAACCATATACAGATATTAATACTAAAGCTGAAGCTCCCAGACCCGAATGGCATTCGTGAGCTCCCGAATGCAATTCGGAAATTCAGATCCTGAATGCAATTCAAGTCTGGGAGCCATATACATATATTACTAAAGCTGAGGCTCCCAGACCCGAATGGCATTCGGGATCCGAATTTTCAAATTGCATTTGGGAGCTCCCGAATGCCGTTCGGGTCTGAAGCCTCAGCTCTAGTATTACATGTGTATACTGTATATGGCTCCCATGTTGCCGTAACAAAAAATCCGTATTCAGATCCATTCGGATGCATTAAACCGAAAAACATATCTGATTGGCCAGAAAAGCCAATTTCGTTTTTGAACAAAATTTGGAATGGGATCCGAAATTCAGAAGCGGAAATTCAGATTCGGACGCATTGGGATTCAGAAATTCGGATGTGTTTTGTGTCGGAACAAAACGAATCGCACATGTCTAGTCCATCCCCTCATTTGTTCTCTCCTTCTGCACCCCTCTCCCCCCCCCCCCCAACTCTTCCTGACCCTCTACCCACAATAAATTTTAAACAATTCCCAGGATACATAGCTTAATCCCAGAGTCTTCACCACGGTCTTCTGCAGAATATGTGAGAGCCGCACAGCCGCGCCAAGGCCCCTCTGTGTAGTGCGGTCCCACTAGCAGTCTGGGCTTACAGGAAACAGGAACAGGGATAATTGATGGACAATGGAGCAAGACCAGCAAGAGACCAGAGGGCAGCAATGGAGCATTGAAAGGGTGAGTAGTGCATTATATTTTTATTAGGGATGCACCGATACCGATACTAGTATCGATATCGGTGCCGATACCGAGTATTTGGGGCGAATACGAGTACTCGCCCAAATGCTCCGATGCCTAGCCTGCTACTTCCTGTGTCAGGAAGCCGGGCAGCGTGGCATTACACGCTGCCCGGTTCCCTGATTGGCTGGGAAGCTGGCTCCATGCTCTCTCGTCACTTGTGATGAGAGAGCATGGAGCCGACTTCCCGGCCAATCAGGAAGCCGGGAAAAGTGTAATGACGTGCTGCCCGGCTTCCTGATTGGTTGGGAAGCTGGCCTATGAGGAAGCCGGGCGCCGTGTAATGACGCAGCGCCCAGCATTCTGATTGTCCGGGAAGCCGGCTTCATGCACCCTCGTCATCTCATGACGAGGGAGCATGGAGCCGGCTTCCCGGCCAATCAGAAAGCAGGGCACCGCGTCATTACACAGCACCCGGCTTCTATGATTGGCCAGCAAGACGGCTCCGTTGGACATGCTGAGGTGAGAGGGGACAGACTCTTGTTAATCGGGAAGCCGGGTGGCGAGTCATTACACGCCACCGGGCTTCCTGAATGGGACTTCCGATACTTGGTAATTCCTAATTTTTATTATTGTCCACAAGAGTAGGGGAAGTGCTCAATAGGAAAAAAAAATTGAGTTTTGCTTTAATAACAGTTCTATCATTTTACTATGTGTTTTAGTTATAGCGTTTAACAGGAGCCAACAAGTAGTTGTATGGTCATACCTTGCCGATAAAATGTTTTCCACGTTTGCAAAGCACACACAGCAACATGCTTTATGAATGTGCCACGTGCTTAGCAATTCAAAGCCGACAGAGCGCAATTAAACTGAATGGCAGTTGGTAAAAGATGTAAAGGGCCAGGAAAACCCAGTTATGTAACCTGTCAAAGTCAAATGATCGGCTCTCTTACAATCAAGAATCACTGTTAAGCAAAGAGGACTCTATAGCATATTGCAGGCTACAAACCACGGCTTGCATTTTATGAATGGCCGGAGTGAAGAGAGAGCAGATAGTGATAACCACTCTCCATTATCAATGCGCCCCAAGGTATTTTTTTTTGTGTGAATTTAGATCTATTTTGAGGGCAGAAAAACATTGTGAGAGTGTATAGGAAAGAGAAATACAGTATTAACAATGCAGTACTAAACACAGGGCCTAGCAGGAGATAGGTGAGGGTCTGCTCATTAGAACCGTGAATGATACAAAAGGCGCAAAGTCATAGTGAAGGAACAGCCATGCACTGTATACTAAACTAAATCAGAATTTTCCATGCACTCATTAGCTCATTAGATTGCATCTTCCTGGAACATTTATGAGGCCGGAGTGAAAAAGCTTATTGGAGCCTAGGGCAGCACATACGACTAAAGGGCCCTGAAGGACATGTAAGTGAATCAGGGAGATGGAGGTAATAAGTAAGGAGCAAGAAAGAGCATGAATAAAACACAATCCTCTAGGTCATAATTCAGCCAAATTAGATAAAAAACTGCATATTATTATTGGTGTTAAACATCTCACCTACAACCAGGCCGTGACCCCGAATATTGCAGAAGATATTTTCCACCACTGTAAACTGTGAAACTCCAGTCAGAATGCCTCCTCGTGCAAAAGAATCCTTCACAATGGATTTTTGTATATAAGAACCTGTATGAAGAGCAAAGCGTGTGGTGTTATAACACAGACCCAAACCTAGAAGAATGCATTATTAAAGGGGACTGGCAGCTGGAACCAACAGGTAGGAGAACCTATTTCAATATTCAGCGGCTCCTTCGGGGGTGAGCGCTACACACATATCACCTAATGTCTACAGGCCATTCCCAATGAACAGAGGAACCACTGTTGGAGCTAAGCTGAGTTGCTTATAACCACAAGGTGTCACCAGGATAGGAAGGTAGGGTAATACATCTTCTGACCGGTCCAGGAATGTCATGGGTCCTTTCCCTTCTCTTTCAGTGTTGGTGGTTGAGAGTCCTTACTCTTTCCCTGGACTACCATTCCTATAATGATGTGCGATTGATTTGTAAGAATATTAAGGCTCTAGACTCAGGTGGCTTGATGATGCACCTTCAGGGCATGTGTCCACAACACCATGGGCTCACAAGAAGTGGGTTGAATGATGCTGACCATCATTCTACCCGTAAGTGTCTGGCTTTGTATTTTTAACGGAGTTTTACTTTAAAATTATCAACCAAAAGCTGCAATATGTACCCCCAAAGGGGCCACTGGTAATTTTAGGTCCCCCTACCTGTTTAGCAGTTACCGTCCTTTTTTCCAGCTCCAGAAACACCGACAATTCTTGTAACTAACAGGTTTCTTCGAGTCATAGGGTCTAGTATTTATTGCTCAGTAGTATCAAGGTCAGGACAGAGGGTCAAGGGTTGCAAGATACCCAAAAAGCACAAAATAGAGGAGTGTCTTCTCCAATAACAACAATAATAGCAACAGGTACTATGAGAGCGACGAAAAAATAGATTCTTGAGCAGAGGACAGCCAGGAAAATCTATGACTTTGTAAGAGCAGTCACGATAATTGTAGTCTACCATCTGGCAGCTCCTCTTCTTTCTGAGATACTCTTCAGTAAGCAGTTGCTTCCTCCAGCCCAGCCTCCATCAGGTTTCTTTCTAGCATTAGCTTAAGCCTCTAGGCCCCTCACACCTGCCACATGCTGAGGCCCAAGCCAGACATCTTACAAAGACACAGGCCTCTGCACAGGGAGAAGCACCAGTGGGGAGAGGGTTCTGGAAAGATGCTCCCAAGTATTTATCATCTTCCCCAGCCATACTTCTGAGTCATCCTGCTCAGGGGGTTGGTCAGAGTTAGATATACACTCATCATCTAGTAAGTGACCCTCCCATACTGTATGCAGGATCCCAACCCAGCAACAGGGGGAAGCAATCAATTTGCCAGGTTTAGGGACAATCTGCAGAACACAGAACAATTGATGCATAGACTGATTACAGTCCAGCAACAAACCCGCTAAATTTAGCAGCAACACAACTGTAAATGGCAGGGGTGCTACAGCTATATTTTTCTCTATTAATATTGACTGTAAAATAAATTGTATGCAAATTATTTAACAAAAAAACACCCTATCAAGTCCATGTGTGTCATCTGGTAGCCAAGTTTGGATCTTTCAAATATGGTGAGTTATACTTCTGAATATGATTGTTGGGGGGTATAAATTGTGGGATTCATGTATATGAGAACATGATTGATAATATTCCAGGGCGAAATCTCAGGACATTTATCCATGTGATTTAAAATCTGTCACTGGAATTGATGGCTGTCCTTTGGGATATGGAACTGCTGGCAAGTGTGTTATAATACCTAGACTAACGATGAAGTTTATTATGTGGAGTAGGGAAGTTCTGAAGCATGACCAGTTCTTTCAGCAGATCCAATGTCCTGTAAGGATATGTGGTGGAATTATTATTTCTTGAGTATATATTATAATCTCCATCAGCTTCTGCTGATGCTACAATCTAATGCCCCTTACCAATGTCATACATTTCCATGCAATCTAGGGATGGAGTGATCAGAAGCAATATATGTGCCAGTATGTTTCTGAAAGAAAACTGGACACCCCGGGGGAAGCACATGCAAGTTTGGAGGACTACACATACTTCATATACTCCTGCTTTCCGGCTCCCTTGTCAACTCCTCCCATACTCACCTCCAGGACATCTCTAGAGTCTCTCCCACCCTCTGGAACTCTTTACCCCAACCTGTCCATTTATCTTCAACCTCGACTGCCTTTAGGCGCTCCCTAAAGACTCATCTCTTCAGGGAAGCCTATTCCACCTCAACCTAACCACTGAACCATCACGTTCTAAAATAATTCATCCCCACACAGCTACCTCCTCATGTATCACTTTTAGATTGTAAGCCCTCAGGGGCGGGGCCCACCTTACCATCTTATCTTGAATTGTATTTTTGATTGTAATGTTTTCCTTATATTGTAAAGCACTGCGCAAACTGTTGGCGCTATATAAGACCCCGTTCACATATAGCGACATACCTTTGCAGCAGCCGGGATAGCGCGACTTTCGGGGCGACGTTCCAGCGACGATCCAGCGACGGTAGCGCGACCTTCTCCGTCGGGCTCCATAGAAAAAAGCAAAATGGCGCAAAATCCGCCGAAAAAAAGGGTTCGGTAGAAGCGACTTGCGACGAGCGACGCGCGACATGGAGTTAAGACAGCTCTATTGAATAGCATTGGCTGGCGACTTCTCGCGATATCGCGCGGCAAAAATTACTAAGTATTTTTTGGCTACTGATCCCCTCCATATAGTTGTTAAAATGAATAGCAAAATTCACTGTTGAAGTGTTGTTTGAGATTACACTTGAATATCCAACCACCCTCCCAATTTCTAGGACATCACTAACCAATGTGCATCTTCATACCAAACATCGGAACGTTGCCAATAATATTTATTGCACCCAGGGGTTTATTGAAAGCCTGGCCCGCGTGGAGGAACTGGACTCCAGAGATGTGGATTAGAATCGGTTCATCTTTCAAAGCTTGTGCCATGAAAACCAAACCCAGATCTTGAGATCCGAGAATTTTCTCACTTCTGTCATAGTGGCATTCGGAAATATCTAAACAGAAAAAAAAGACATTCAGACACGGTACTTATGTGGACATATACTATAAACACCTGCACTGTTATACATTCAGTAATTAGTAGAACAACTGTACATATCAGTGCAAACAGAAAAAATGGTGGGACCTAGGGGCCAAGCAGGACCCCATAGTAGCCCCATTATTGTTAATGTGCCTGACCAAAAGAACTTCTTACTTCTTCTTAATACTTTGGAAAGTTATAGTGTAAATATCCTAATCTATTAGTCTGGTTATGACGTGGCTTGGCTTTTAGTATCCAATCCTGATCTCTCATTGCTTCTGGTCATGTCGTTGGATCCTAGTTACTGTCATCTGTCTAAGCCCTGCCATGACCTTGTACCTGGTTCCCAACTGCTCGTGTTTATCTCTTGTCTTGGCTTGACTGCTTCTCCACTTTGAGGGTTTGTCTGGTCATCTGTTTAGTTTTAGCTGTCATCACTTTGTGCAAGCTTACCCACAGCTAATGCCTGCGCTGATTTGGGGGGTGGGGGGATTGAGCAAGGATGAATACTGGGAATGTATTGGACCCTGTGCCATGGCATTAACCCACACCTACCACTTGTGACACATTGATCAATATTTATAACATCTATAGTCTGGGGCTTCTATCCAAGCTTTTACTTTAGCTAGCATCCCATCATACATTCTGGGAATGGGTGGCAAGTCAACCCAAGGGAAAATAGAGAGGTAATGGGGTTCTGACTATGTAACATTTCCATAAAATGTTTGTATCTGCATGGATGCTCTCCCTAACATGATCCAACCACTTGCAATGTTATATGTTACCGTATTAAGGAAGCACTCTTAAAGTGACATTAAACCCTCAGATTTTTTAACATAAAACAATACTGTGATGTGCGCCTTACTGTAATCCATGGTTGTTTCCCTTCTCTTTGCTGCTCTTCCTTTTAAATCCGAATCTCTTCTCATGCTGGGGGAGAACTTCCCTTTGCAGCTGAGGGCCTCTTCCTGTAGGGCTGGCTCAGGTTACAAACCTACACACAGACACCATGTATCCATTTCAGAGACAAGGCAGTCTGCTGCAAAACAGAAGTTCTCCCCAAGCATGAGAAGAGATACAAATTTAAAAGGAAGAGCAGCAAAGAGAAGGGAAACAACCATGGATTACAGTAAGGCGCACATTACAGTATTGTTTTATGTTAAAAAATCTGAGGGTTTAGCGTCACTTTAATGTAAAAGAAAACTATGAGCCATTAAATGCAACCAGTTTTTACTTTGCTGCCTTTACTTGCAATGGAATGAGACCCGATACCCTAAATAATTTTGAGCCTCATTTATAAAGTGCGAACAGTCTTTTGTTCCTCCTAGCAACCAATAAAGTCATCCCTTTCCTGCTCAGGCTCGTAAATTTAAGAGAGACTCTGACTGGTGGCTAGGAAGGAAGGACCAACTTTTCTTCATTTAGACACGTCGTACATGAGTCTTCTGTGCCTGTGCTCACCCCTTTCAAGACATTATGCTACTCCACAATACACCTTAAATAGAGCAGACCAGAGGAAACTCCAACTGCATCTTTTAAAACTCACTATCTTCCTGGTTCAGACCTGCCAAGTGATGACATGCTAAGAAAAAGTGGTGGGTGGGTGGGTGGTTAGGCACATTTCCTATTTTTTTAAATCACCCACATAAGAGCCATGTGGACAATAAGTAGATTGGGGGATTGTGAATGGTGTGTATGGGATACCTAGGTTTCTCATCTACACATGTTGAGCGACTCCAGGGTTGATATCTGATATGAAATCTTATTACATTCTGGTCTGAGTCCTGGAGGCTTTGTAGAGCTTTGGGTGGTAAAAAGACTCTATTCATAGATCCACAACCTACCTGGTAGCCAGACCTCATTATTAGTCTAGATCAGGGTTGCCCATTAGGTAGATCGCAAAGCGAACACTGGTAGATTGCGATCGGCTCACTGACCTGTGTCCTGTCCTCACGCGTTTCTCGTGCGGCTGAATGTGTCAGACGCCGCAGACGGGAAGGAGAGAGGAGAGGAAACTTGGGAAGCTGCTGCGGTGGAGGTAAGAAAAGACAGCAGAGAAAGTGAGAGCAGAGACAGCAGACAGAAACGGGAGAGAGAGCAGAGAGCGCGAGGAGAGAGAGAAGAGAGGGCTGGTTCACACCACAAAGTCTGTGTTCCAGAGTGTTCGGCCTGTAGAACGCATTGGAACGCAAGTTGGCCCGCTCCCGGGGCAGTGCATTAAAGTCAATGGCACCGCAGCCACGCCCCCCCCCCCCCAGTGTGATCGCCCGCACCCCGGAACGCAGGCACATTAATGCCTGCGTTCTGGTCCATCACGATCTGCAAAAATATGCAAAAATGCAGCATGTTTGCAGATCACGCTGGACCGGAACGCAGGCACTAATGTGACTGCATTCCTGGTGCGGCGACTGCACTGGGGGCGTGGCTGCGGTGCCATTGACTTCAATGCACTGCCACGCCCCCTTCCGCCCCTGAATGCAGGTGTTTTTTCGTTGGCAGATCTCATTGAGCTCGTCATTTGAAAAGTAGATCTCCAGACGAAAAATTGTGGGCGCCCCTGGTCTAGGCTGTCCATAGGACTTTAAATATGTGGGCTGACTGATGCACAGGGCTCTCTCCCTCTCTTTCTTTCTTTCTCTCTCTGCTGCTGGGTGAAAAGGATGAGTGCTGATAGAACTCTGAAAAGGTACAGGAGCTGCCTGTTTGTTTTGGGGAACCCATTAGGTGATCCCCTGTTAGTCACATGAGTTTAGTTAGTGTCTCGGATGATCAGATGTTTTTGTTTTATTCTATGGATGTGCTGCATTGAACTGTGTTTGCGGCCTTGCTGAATAAAAGTGCATGAGAAACCTACTTATACTGTTCCTAGGTGTCCCTGTCACGTGCAATGTTTACCGCGGCAAATACCAATTGAGCCTGCGCCAATTACAATATATATACAGTATATATATTAGAAGTGTACCTGACTCCCCCACTTGATGACAACGTTGGTAACGACTGAGGTATTCATCGGTTAGATTGCCTTGTATAACAATATCCCTGCTTAGCAAAGCTATAACAGGTCTTAGAAGTATCCAGTCTGTTTCAAGAAATTGTTTCACAATGTCATAGGAATATCTGCAATCAAGAAATGGGTTCAAATTAAAAGACACCAAGATGTCCCGGGGTCGAACAGACCGCGGACATCCCATAATGTTCGGCGAACGCTAGAACATGCAATGTTCAAGTCGAACCTATGGTCGACTCGAACATGCAGCCCATCCTTAATGACAACCTTGTGCTTAGAAGAAAAGACTATAGAACGCAGGCATCATATATGAACAAGGAATAAGTACAAATTATTATTTTTACGGATTTCTATTTTGCCATTACAGAGCACTGCGCAAAATAATATCTACTATGAGATAATGTGAATAATACAATAAGCAAAATGTATCCAGTGATAAACACATATAACATTTAAGCATTAACAATGAACTAGAAAAACATACAAAAATACCACAAAAGAAGGAGCCATTCCCAAGAGGTGTATCTACAAAAAATTGCGCCCCTAACTTCCTGTCCAGCTACTGGCAACCAGTGATGTCATTGGTTGTCAGGAACCGGGCAGGACACCGGCCCGAGTGTACCAGGTTACTAAGATTTGGACAGGGAGATGTGTAAGGGCCATAGACATCTTCCCGCTCCAGCTCTTAGCAACCTGTGATTCTCTGGCTAGTGTCTCGCCCAGCTCCTGGCAACTATTGATGTCACTGGTTGCTAGGAGCTGGATGGGGATGCCGGCCAGAGCATCGAGCCTGCATACACATCTCCTAGTCCACTCTGGTTGCTAAGAGTTGGGCAGGAAGATGTATATGGCCCTTACACATCTCCTCGTCCGGTTCTTAGCAACCTGAGACACTCTGGCTGGTGTCCCGTCCAGCTCCTAGCAATCAGTGACACCATCAGCTGCCAGTTGCTGGACGGGACACCAGTCAGAGCATCCCTGGTTGCTAAGTCAGGCAGTGACAGTGAAAGTCAGCTTTCTCCATGAGTCGGTGAACTTTTGCTTACCTGCGGAGAAGTTAACCCCCCTCCATCAAGTGGCACCCAGCACATGTGTCATATGTGCCATACCTTTGATACACCACTGCCATGCCCATACGAGCTAGCAATCCAGAGAAATACTGTTGCATCATTTAACACCTCAATTTCAGGAAGAGCTTTATAAACAATGGGGGTTCTTCTGGACATTTCCATTCTGTCCATATTGCCTTTAAAGCAGCTTTGGCATCCTAAAGTTTTAATGAATTCCCCAGCGTGGCTCACCTCAGAGGAGGGCTGACAGAGAGGCGTGTGCCATTGATGGATTGTATGTTCAGAATTTCTTGCTGTTTGATGAGACCCTCAAACCTTCCTCCGCAAAGCACAACTTCATCCCCTACACGCCAGTCAACAGGTTTGGCAAGCACCAGGTCTGTGTCATTGGCTCTGGCTGCAGCCGCTAAGTGTGTGAAAATGACTTTCGGAGCCCAGCCTGAAAATAAGCAGAAAAATCAGAATTTTTACTGTCCTGGAAAGTCACAAAATATGTAAACCTAACCTCTAAAATGTCATACATTTAACATGTGAATGCAGTTTTAAAAAGACATTACCGATATTTTAAATCAGCAGCTTTCATTAAAATAATATCTGGTGATTCTGCCTTGGAGGTCGTTCAGTAGGCACTTCCTGTTATCGGAAGACAACACCCTGCCCTTGTCTTCCATTTGTAGTTCTGCGGTGTCACCCTGCCTCAAGAAATTCCGATAAGGGCTACAAGTGATCCTTTCAACCCCCCACCTTATTCAGGCATTCTCCACTGTTATCCACCATCAAAAAGCCCACCCTAAAAAATTATGTGCAGCCTTCTCAGTGCATGAAGACAGGAAGTGGATACAAAGAGCCAAGATGCAACAAAGGATGAAAAAATGGGGGAAAAGAAGAAAGAAATGTAACAAAACTACTAATTACCTTTTACTTCCATGAAGGATTATGGCTCATTATTGCTATCTGTTTACATGTTCAGTCTTGTTTTGTGACTACTATTACCATGGTGGAAAGCGAATGTACATTAAAAATTTTACAGCTGTCACTGGAACAGGAGTAAAAGTGGAAAATTACCCAACAGCATTTGTTCTGGTGACAACTGCCAAAGGTGGGACTTCCTCTCACTTTGTGGAAATTCCCCTTTACTTCCTGTTGCATCTACAGGACAGAAACTGGAGGAACATAGACAACAATGAAACCTGATGGGTTCTACCTTTCACTTCTCCATCCAAACCAAAAAATAAAATTGGATCAGAGCTTCACATTAACGCTACAACAGCCAACTAATTCCTTCTGTATACCTTAAAGTGTACATAAACCCTAACAATGAACTGCTCTCATTTGCCCCCTTTTGGTCTGCAGAATATACCATTGAACCTCCCCTGGGCCCCAAAGTCATCACATTTCTGCTGAAAAAAAGAAAAATCTTGAGTGTGTACCAGGTAGGGCAAGTAGGCATTGTCTCTGGAAAGTGCTCACCCAACCCCAATATACTTGCCTGTGCTCCCTCAAAACTCCTTGCTCCTCCAAAACCAGAGGGAATAGCTGACACATCCAGGCATGGAGGAGAATGTGACCTGCTGCCTTTTTGGCAAAAGTGCTGTCACATACTTGGACGAGTGAGGTCATTATTCCCGAGGGTTGCCCACACACCTGGGTGGCAGCCCTGGCCTCGGAGGAGCAAGGAACTGCAAGGGGGTGCAGGTAAAGTGAACATTTAGGGGTCAAGGGAAGCCTTTGTAGAGGCACTGTCATTTTACCCTGCATGGGCAAGGTGCCTACCTCTTTATTGTGAATCTTCAGCCAATACAGGGCAATCAGCAAGCTTGCTGTAGAGCTGGATGCAGCATCAATTATACTTAAGCTTCCCTTTACTCCGCACCTAATCAATTTGCTGCTGAGAGCTTAGAGAAGGAGCCCTCCATGAGCTTCAATTCTAGTTGAGATCTACACAATTATTCCATGTGATGATGCCAGACCCTAAGCAAGCAATGGGCAAGCTCTGTCACGTGGTAGGAAGATAAGAAGGAGTCACTGTTCCCCATACCCAGAAAAACTGGATATTTTTTATCACCCCCCTCCCCACCCTTAGCAGGGAAAGGATCTGGGATAGTGAAGGGAAGGTTAATACAGCAGTTCAGAGAAAGATCTGTGATTGCCTTTTCCTCCTCCTCCTCCAGCTCCCTGACACCGTGCTGCCTGCCTGCGGTCCCCTGGTGAGAAACCATAGCCTAGACAGCCCACCTGAGAGCTGCCCAGCCCACCTGAGATTCGCACATCCCAAGTGAGAGTTCCAAAGCCCACCTGAGAGCAGCACAGCCCATCTGAGAGCCCACCAGGCCACCTAGAGACATCAAGGCGCCACACAGCAACACAGAGTTTGTAGCTTCATATTATTTTATAATGCTGTATAATGTATTGCTGGGATTTGTACTCGTCTATAGACGGTCTACTTACTCCCTCCCCTGGCTGTCTCTTCTTGATCTTTCTCCTGACTGCCTCTCCTCGCTCTCTCCTCTATATTCTCAAAAAAAAAAATTTGCCGTGCCCAGCGCTAGAGTGTTCAGGTTTCACTTTAAGAAAAGGTGGCAACCCTAGATGACGCCAGTGCCTAGCAAGCAATGGGCAAGCAGCAGCTCTGTCACATGGTAGCAAGTGGAGTCACTGTTCCCCACACCTAAAAAACTGGATATCTTTATCACCTTCCCCACCCCCCACAGGGAATTGATTGAAGAGAAATGGGCACAGCCACTAAAGTCAACCCATGGCTTCACCCCACATGGACCAAGCACAGGTTCACTTTAAACTGTCCCTGCCCTACTCAAGGCATTCGTATGGGAAAAAATATGTGAGCCCTATCAGGCGTCTTCGCCGCCGTCACTCATGGCACCCGAGCACTTCATCCTGAGCGCTTTCCGCGTACAGCTGGCACCGCTTTTCCATTATTGCCACTTAATCTAGGGTGCTATTGAATGCGACGAGGAATATTCGCCTGCAGGAATTAGCAGGCTCGCTGAAAGGATCGTTTAAATGCTAAGAGCAGTTGGCTCTAACGACAACATATTGCTAGGTAAATTTTCATGGCTGTCAATTGAATTACGCATTATTGTTAATGGAAAGCTGTCAGTTACACAACGTTGAGCATGTGCCCGATTATGACCAATTTTGGACAATTTGCTGGGGAAACGTATGACCCCCGAGGAGGGAGGAAAGAATTTGAGAAGCTCACAAAGAAAGTTAGAGAAGTGAATGTCGCGTGAATATTTATGACCCAATATATTATCATTTGGGAGACAGTCGCGATGGATATTTAGAGGATTTTTTTAGCATTCGCCTCAATTTGCACAGCCGAGCTTGAAGAATTTGCATGGATGTGCGGAGAGGGATGGTGACCTGCAAGGGTCAGTCCATACAAAATGGACATGTCAGGGGCACCCGTCATTTTGGAGCACCGTGAGGAAGCGTTGCCTCCATTTATCCAATAAAGAAGGTTTTATTGTATCCAGACAGAGTCTGAGTGTCTAGAGATGGCTAGAGAACGCTGTAGCATCCATTCCACTGAGTTTATCACTGTTTTCTGGTAGGCCTTGTAGCTGTCAGAAGGGTGGGACCGTGGAGTGGGCAGGGTGCTGTACATGGCTTCCCAAAAACATGAGAGCATCCTCCTCTCAAGAGCCCTCACCCTTGATACAAGCAATGGGCTGATTTTTGGGAGGAGTTATGCAAATATCAAAGTGCCTTGATCAGGGGCGTCCCGCGGCCGGGTGTCCCCCGGAGCGGAGACCAGGTGACACCCTGCCGTGACGTCATCGCGCATGACGTCACCATTTAATTAACGACTACCGGGGGCCATCTTGGTTTATGGACGTCCACCTGGCGGAATGAGGTATGCCGCCGGGTCCCCTCCTCTCTCCTGACACTGTCGGGCTCTCGGTCCATGACCGAGTGCCCCGACTTTTTAGAGGAGGTGACACCAAACTGACTGTTAGTCATTTTGGTGTCATCCCTCCAATGATGTCACCCGGGTGCGGGTCGCACCCCCTTGTGACGCCACTGGCCTTGACAGGTGTGTAAGTCCGGAGAACTGGGCATTCCTAGGCAGTTTGTATTTGCATACAGAACAAAGCAGGTAACGCCCACGTGTGATGCTGAGCCTCCATAATTAAAAGAACTGAAATCCAATGAATGAAAGGGGCGGGGCCTGGTACAGTCAGGCTGGTGAGGAAATATCTAAATGATATTGGATGTCCTCCAGCCAGGAAATGAGGCGGAGCTCTCTCTGACTTGCTGCAGCTTCTAATGCATATTGTGAGGCGCTCCCAGTGTGAAATCAGCGGAAGGCATTTCAATCCGGGAGAGGAGCAGGCACCACTGTGCAAGACTGAAAGGAAGGCCTTAGCTTAAAATTACATTTTTGGATCAACGCCTTTCTTTAAAATGATCCTTGGTGAGAGGGCAGCGCATAAAAATCATGGGGTCCTGTACAGCCTACAGGCAGCCACTACCCGACCCCCTGCCGACCCATAGACGCTCTGGACCGGTACCCCCTTATCATTGGTCCTGCAGGATGATCCTACCATGCAGGCCATTCTTCTTCAGGCACATCATGTTATAGGGTGACAACGCTCTGTCCCTGTGCCCATACTATGCTCTTACGTTGTCACCCAGGCTTGCAGATAAACAGCACTGAGATGCAACAAAGGATGAAAAAAAAAAAAGAGAAAATCAGTATTCTATTTTATTTTTTCAAAGTTTTGTAGTTTTTGATATAAATTGAATTTCAGGTTTACTTATACTTTAAAGAAAGAAATCTAAAAACTAACCCCTGCAGTGTGGCTAGTACCGCACTGCAAGGGATAACTTTCAGGGCAACAAAAGCTGGAACCGATGACAAAAGTTAAAGTAGAACTCCAGTAAATGTAAAAAGTGAACCCTTGCAGTGGGGCTCCCCTGGCACTATACGGGTTAACTGCTGTTTTTGGTCTAGGGGCTAAAAGAAAATATACTCACATTCCTTCACATTCTCACATAATTCATTCCCACAGCTACCTCATGTATCATTTCCCCCTCCTCTTTTAGATTGCAAGCCCTCAGGGGCAGGGCCCTCCTTACCATCTTGTCTTGAATTGTATTGTGAGTGTAATGTCTTCCTTACATTGTAAAGCGCTGCGCAAACTGCTGGCGCTATATAAATCCTGTATAATAATAATAGTAATAATAATACTCACCTTATCCTCGGTGCTGCCTGGCATCTAGACCGGCCCCAGGAGCCTCTTCTCCCCCGGGGCTCCGGCGGTCTAAGGACCCCTGAGGTCATCACGCCTAATGCAACTGCATTAGAAGTAAGGACATCGAGGCACATACCACAGCCGGAGCAGGGAGAGAGGTGAGTGGTCACTGCTGCAGGATTGAGGATCAGGTCATTGTATTTTCTTTATTGGAGCCCCT